TATTCTCTTGTTTTTAGTTTCAAAAGTCACTGATGAAGTCATTGTGAAGAATTTGTTTACTGTTGGTGAAGTCGCACAGGTAATATATAAACCACTTTTGTGGTTACGTAAGTTTATTTTGTGCTCAAAGTCCGACAATACTTTTAAGGGATATTCTCAAACGGGTTTTGTGTGAAGAGTTAACATTATCCATGTATTCTTCGTTTTTAAGTTACGTCACAGCGGCCATCTTGGAGGAACTTCAACAAAGGATTTCTCATTAGTATCTATTGTTCATTCCTCCAACATGGTCGCCGGTCTTTTATCTTTTGAATCTCATGGGAATAGTTGAAAACGATCAATAGCTAGCGTTGTGTTTTTGTACTACAACAATTGTACATACCCTTACATGAGAGCGAGTTAACGAGTTTTTGCGTTGAGAGTCATCTTGTAGCGAGTTAACATTACCCATAAATCCTTGCTCCAATTTCAGCTCGCTCCAGGACGAACTACAGAACGTCTGTTCCTGCTTGTCGAGTCAATGTTGATCTCAGAAGCCAGTCTCAGTACGCCTGGTACTCCTCAGAGCATCCAGAAGAGTCAACTATCAAATACTGTTAAAGCTCATGCCTTCGTTACTCTAGGTATGCTKGTATAGGCAATAGAGGGACGCCATTTTGTATGGCAAAGAATGGTGGGAAGCTGTTTTTGCTTTTTCTATAAAACAATAAAAGTAGCTGTGTCGTTTATAGAACGAAGATAAAACATAAAATACGGGTTCTAGGGAGATTTTTTAGAGGCTATAAAAGTGCGAAGCCTGCAACTCTTTCACTAGAATACTACAATACAAACACTGAAGCAATGAAAAACTTTAGTTATTAATTACATATTGCTAAGTTGTGCCGAATTATGTGAATTCATTTTTTTTCTATTGTCTAATCTACACTATTTGGTTAGTTCTTTTTCATGATTTTTGTATAATAGTCTTCTTCACGGTTCCCTGCGCCATCTTGAAAGGTAGCCGTGCCTTGACATCGAAGCGAGACGACCGTTGAGCGTGCAATGATAGAAACCTTCTTTCAGACCTACAGACAATTATTCACAGGTTTCTATCATTGCACGCTCCACGGTTGTCTCGCTTCGATATAAAGGCACGGCTACCTTTCAAGATGGCGCAGGGAACCGTGAAGAAGACTATTGCACTATCGTGTAATTGTGAACTATCTCTTGCAATTTTACAGGAAAGCTGTGTCTACAGAACGAACACTTGGCCAAGAAATGCACGGCAGCTTTAGCCCGCGAGCTTGAAGTATCTGACGATGCAGCCATCAGGAACAATGTGATCGTTGTGATGTGYGATCTTTGTGTACGGTACACAAGTCTTGTTGACCGTTTCATTCCTAACATTGCCACGTGTCTGAGAGACAGTGCCCCCCTGGTTCGAAGACAGACATTGACTCTTCTTACCCACTTACTGCAGGTGAGCAGGGGGGGGGTTGAATTTTTCGTCTCCAGTTGTACTACTACTCGAAGTTGAAGCGAAGTTTTCTTGGACGTCATATTGGCATGATTTCGATCCACCTTAATAGTTTAGGCCCACCTTTGAATTACAGTGGATCCTCTATTAAGCGGTCACCTTGAGGAAAGACCAAGTGACCGGTTAATGGAGGCTGACTCTTTAATAGAGGTCGCGTTTACGGCAAATGTATTTGTGAATCGACTTTCTGGAGTGACAACTTAATAGAGGGTGGCCGCTAAATAAGGGGTCGTTTAATGGAGGTTGATTGTAGCGCTCAGTCAACAGAAGTGCTAAAAAAGTCAATGTTTATTAATGTTACGATATCTTAAAGGGCATGGTTGACCGGCTTCACTTACGAGCTTATGGCTGTTTGAAACTTAAAATACATCGTAATATTAGGAAAAAAATTACTCTATCTTCCTCTATATACTAAATGTATGGAGAAATTGTAAGATTCGACCTTAAAACTGACGGATGGAAATGGATTGTGAAGAGATATTTCAAGTCACTTCATTTTCCAAATATAAAAAATCGATAACACGACCGAATTGAATGCTTGATGACCATGGTCCTTTTATTGTGTTTTTGTAGGAGGATTATGTGAAGTGGAGAGGATCTCTGTTCTACCATTTTATTACTGCACTTGTAGACGAAGACAAAAACATCAGACAATTTGGTAAGAATGTGAATCGTGACCTGGAAAAATCGCGCTCTTTAAAGGTTGTAAATTTGATGTAAATATGATGTAAATGTCCAAAATTCTGTAAATTTGATGTAAATGATTTCCATTAAATTTACAGAATTTTGGACACTTAAATCATATTTACATCAAATTTACAACCTTTAAAGCGCGCGATTTTTTCGAGTGACGTGACCTGATGATGCTGGCGTCCGGCGAAGGCTTGTCAAAACTTATTTGCCTTTCGACAGTAATATACGGCCCTAAACTCTCATTTTAACTCATAATGCTACGGAAGGACAACTAAATATAATACTGAAGATAATGTTTGCAACATCGAGATGTTCGCATTGTTGGTCATTTTATCGCCGTACAAAATGAGTTTTCGTGGTTTAAGAGTGACTGCACCAGCTACGTTCAGTCAAAAACTTCAATGGGAAGCAATAAGCATATATATGCATGTATGTCCTTCAGTAGTTGGAGAGAATAAATTGAAATGCGAATGCAGCCTACAATAAGGTTTAGAACTGTCAGTTAGTAGCGGATCTACAATTTTGGACATAAATGTTGACGTGCCCCCCTTCCCCCTAATACAATGTTGCGTGGCTTTCTTTTCATTTTTCTGTCCATTCATTTACCCTTTGCTTACAACATTGATGTGGGAGGGAGGGGAGGCAGGGCAGGGAACCGGAATATTTTTAGTTGGTGCACGTAATGCCCAAGCGAGAAATTGTCAAGTGTCCAAGATTGTAGTTTGGCGTTTAACGGCAACAATGCATTGCGGTCTTGGAATACACTATGCCGTATTACAGTATTCAACGTTGTTTTCATTTTTTTTCTGTTTTTAGCTGATTTTTGTTTAGTTCAYCTCCTCTTAACAAGACATCCAGGAATGTTCTACCAGCATTTTGTCGAGTGTATCTTCCACTTTAATTCCTACGACAAGCACAAAGGTACATAAGACTTCGGTCCAGCATCCTAGTCATTYGCWYGSTGTGATTGGCTAGCGCGCGGTCCRGTTYTWCACGATCTGCCCRGTCCGACGGTATCCTRCAGCTAGKCTGCGAGCAAAGYTGCATAAAATACAAATAAAAAATAAATAAAAATGTTATTTACCGGCKATASGTCGGTCCGTATAGRAAAACACTGCCCTCGGTCTTTTATGAACGGACCTCGCTGCGCTCGTTCCGTACTGTCAAGACCTTGGGCAGTGTTTTCCTATACGGACCTCCCAGCCGGTAAATAACATATATATTACTTTTCTTA